TCATCCCAAGGTTCGAGCTTTATGCATTTCCTGGAAGCATTCAGCTCCAGTTGTCCAAGGTGGCTGCTGGCTGAGCACTGCACCCTTTGCTGCCTGTCTCCTCCCCTCTTCCCCTGCTGGGCTGTCTGCAGCTCCCACATAAACCGTTTGCTCTCAAACCTTTGTCTCAGCATCAGCTTCTGGTGTGACTCAAAGCAAGAGGCCTGATGTTCCAGATGAAGCAGAAATCTGGTTTATATATAAAATCTCTTAATTTTTAAGTGTTGGTCAGTTGTTATAAACAAAAGCAGACCATGCATGGACCATGCATCCATAGGGTAGATTTGGTCCATGGCCAGTGGTGTGTGGGGCGAGGTGTGCACTGGGCCTGGCCTGACCCTGGCATCCCTTAAATGTTTGGGCATCGTGGCTGTGGCTATTTTCATGGGTGTTCTCTCCAGCAACATGGCTGTCTTCCTTCCCTGCATCTCTGAGAGTGTCTCTTCCTTGTTATCACTCTCCTTTCCTTCCTCCCTCCCTCCCTTCTCTCCCTCTTTCTGATTTTCTTGGGTAAGCCTCTCCAGCTGAGTCTTTACTGCTTGCTTGCTCTTCTAATAAACTGCACAGCAGCATTTAGCAAGGGGTTTACTAGCTACTAGGGGACTGCATCTCCAGGGAACCTGTTTACTGTTGGTAACCTTTGTCCAGATGTTTTAGAAATGGTTCCTTTAAGAACTACCCCAAGCTCGAGTTTCTCAGATCAGTAGTGTCCTGTGATGTTTATGCCTGGCCTGGCTCTCCAGGGTCCCTACTCTCCGTGGGGGTCACTACATCTTTTGGGTAGTGCCACAGAGGCCCCATAGAAGTGGGTCGATTTGAGGACACCAAGGGATTCAAGCCACCGGCAGGTTTCACAACAGCAGCATGGATGCCTTGGAGCTGTGAACTCTGACCCCCAGTGACCCCCAAGGCTGACTCTCGCTCCTGGCTTGCAGCTCAAGGAGAATGAGAAAGAGGGAAGGGGCCCTGAAACCCTGGGCTTTTTCTCCCTTGAAGTAGGTAGCTACATCACCTATCACCTTACTGTCTGCTTAACCATGGCTTTTAGTCCTAACACTTACCCTTGCAGGTTTCTGGTAAGTACAAACTGTTCTGTAGAATGCCAAAGTCCTGAAAATCTTAGTCAGAAAAACAAAAAAAGTTTACATGATAAAAATTCCACTCATAAAATTGGTTTTGAGGGAATCCTGGTAAACGGGATCAGTCAGAGGAAAGCAGGGCTTCTCAGAGCCTTTAATATACTGATGTGAACTGTACCTCTTTACAAGAGGTTAGGTGACCATAGGTCCTCCAAAAAGACTTGGGGGCACTGCTGTAGACTCCAGGACCTGGCAGGGCTCTGTGCGCAAGTGCAAAGCCCAAGGCCTCTCTCTGCGCACGATCAAGCTGCCTGCTAGGATGGAGCCAGCCGACTGGCTGTCTCAACGACCCCATGGGGTGTTCGGCTCCCTCCCGGGGTGGATAACTTGGGGTGTGGTACAGGAACATACAGGAGCCCTCCAAGGTCTGGGAGTGGACGGAGGCTTGGCCTAGGCTGGTGGCTGAGAGAGTGGGCGCGTGGGGAGGTCTCCAGGCTTCTCAGCTCTATGATTAGGGCAATTTGTTTCTCCAGGGGGCCATTTGTGGTAGGAAACACAGCCTAGAAATTAAACTAAATATATCCAGTGCCAGAAGATTGGAAACAGAAGTGGCACCTGGCTGGGGGCCGGGTGGCCAAGATTTTACCCAGGTCGGGGTGTCATTGTGCTGCCTCCTGTATTTTAAGGGTTGGGAGGAGAGTGGTTTGAGCTTCCAAAGCTTGGCCTGGGTGAAATGACAGATACAGATTTGAATTTGGGGGAAGAGGTCTCCTGTCCTCATATCATGCTTTACTCTGTCACCCCCTCACTCCAGGGACTACTGTCCCCAGTTTCCAGCTGTTCTCTGCCTCTTCATGGCGGCTGCTATTCCTGCTTCTCCTGTGTCCCCAAACCCACAAAGCTCCACAGGCTCTGTCTTCTCGGGTTCTAAAGTGAACCTTCTCCCTTCTTCCTGGGGAAACAACCATTCCCTCCAGGTGGCTGTTCGGAAACAAAAGTGTGGCAATTTGCACCAAGTTGCTATGACTGATACAGCATGTAATTGCACTGCATTTCTTAGCTGCAAGGGTTCCTAGCAATCTCAAGCGATTCTTGAAATTTATTTGAAGGCCAAATGAATGCACAGCTGCTGCGAGTGGGAAAGCACTGCCTGCCCTTACAGCTGACTTCAGTCCATCCCTAAAGGGGTATTTTTGGAACAATGGTTGTCAACTACTAATTACACCTTTCATTGTAAAGGCAACTGGGGTACAGATTAAGGGAACTGACTTACCCAAAATCCCAGGACTAGAAAGTGGCCAAGCTGGGACTTGTCACCAGGTCCCCTGGCCTCTAACTAATGTCCCTGTTTGAGAATACCTGGGTGTTTCTCTCTCAGACGTTGTCCTTGCAGCCAACTCCACAAACTGTTATTACCAGCTCTGCTATTCTGGTAACATAAAGAACATTCACCTTTGCCACAGCCCCTGCACGTATCCCTACTTTCCTTGTGCCTTTCACCTCTCAGGAACAGGGAGCAGTTTCTGTGACTTGCTTCATGCTGGAAGCTACCCCTTTCCTATGGCTGCTAATTTTTTTTCTTATTTCCTCCAACCCCGCTTTATTGAGATATAATTGACGTATAAGTTTTCCTGTTAATTTTTACAACCTAATTGCTGCTGAGAATAAATACAAAGACGACAGAGACACACACTTCAGATTCTGCTTGTTGCGTGTTTTCACTTTTAATTAAATAATTCACATTCTGTTCTGCAAAGCAGATCCCGACTGGCAGTAGCCACCAGCTTTCTGAAGGCAACCCCTGTATTTTCAGGAGATTGTAGCCACGGCAAGAACATTGATGGCAAGGACATTGATGGCAAGGGAGCTGGGAGCAACACGGCCAAGCAGGCTGAGCTACATGCTACACATACAGACGTGTGGACACATATGTACATACCAGGCCACCTATGGCCAGGAAAGGGGTATCCTGTACTATGTGGCCATGAAATATGACATACGGCCAAGGTCTTGGCAAAAAGAGTTTGCAGGATCCAGGAGGGAGCAGGGGAATCAGGCAGATTTGGCCTAGAAAGTACAGATGAAATGGAGACTTTAGGGGGTGCCCTGTTCAAGCCCAATGTTAGAAGAAGCAAGATACATAGGTCATTTTATTTGACAAATAAATACAAATAAAATACCTGGTCCACAATATGGGCTAGGCCCTGAAGACGGCACCATGTAATCTTGGAAACACATAACTAATTAGTCCCCCATGCACAGTATGGAATGACAAAAGTCACAAGACCCTAGGATCTTGAAGTTCTTAAGACATCTGCAGTTGCTAATTCTGCTTCATCCTCTTGAGGTAAAGAGCAGCTTCCACTCTTCCTGAAACCATGGTAGTTGAAAGGCCACGTGGCTGCATTCAGGAAACCCTGGGCCTCCTCCCTCCGTTTCTAACTGGACCATGTCCTAGGAATCTTCCCAGGCAAACTCATCAACTTTGGATCTCAGAGGATGCGCCTTCTTTAAATGTGAGCAGACTGACAAGACCCACTTCTAGGATCTCATCAGTCCACACAAATTTAAAGGAGCATCCTCTGCAGGCATCTGTTGCCCCCATCCCCTCCTTGCCTCAGGGACACAGCCATCCAGTCTTCTGCCCTCGTTCTTCATAATCCAGGGCCTCTTAAGGGACAGGCCCCACAGTCAATTAACACAGGCCCAGGGCTGGAAGAGAACTTCAGGGTTAGGACGAGAGCACTGGATGCTTATACCTCCTGTCTGCTGATTGGCTAAGCATACATCTTCTGGGACACGGATTCCCTGGAGCTCATTTGGAGAGCAGAGGTGGAAACATGTCATTGTAACGGGTTCGGTGGGACTTTTGCTCTTAAGGGTTTGGTCAGCAGCTGTCCCATCAGACCAGACTCTGGCACAGCTCCCAGGCTGAGGGTGCTGGCAGACAAACATTTTGTTTTTCTGTTTTTATTTTCAAGTGAGTGCATCACATACACAGACAAAGGGCTAGAATTTACTCGAGTCTCTCCACCTTAGTGATAACTTGCTGATAACTTGCAGGAGCTGTGCTACTGAGCCCTGCACATCTTCCCTCTCTATGGGACTCAGGAATCCTGCCCCCTCCCAAATCCTGCTCCTATAGACCTTTCCCCATGTCCTCATCCACTCCAAAACTTATAAATGAGGTCCAGAGGAAAAGCCAGGAATGGGCAGCAGGGGTGACGCCTTGAGGGTACTGGACACTGCCCTGTCTCACCAAGGCCTGGAATGTTCTGAGCTATTTTTATAGGCTGGGCTAAAGAGGTCTTCATGAAGAAGAAGAAAATGAGTAAACGCTCATTGCTGAATGAGCCTCTTGTTCCAGGGTAGCTGGCGGCTGGCAGAGGTGAGGCCTCAACGCTCTCCAGGCAGGTGGGTGTTGCAGAGGGGAAGGCTGCGGTCTGAGGAGGGAGCACAGGGGGAACAGAAAAACAAATCAGGGCTGGCCTTGCTGGAAAACGAGGCACTGCCTCTCAGCTGGACCACTCTCCCTAATCCAGCTCCCTGCTGGTAACACCTCATGTGGGTCTCCAACCAGGTCCCAAGGAGTATAAAGTCAGTAATCATCCCACCCTGCCCTCCCTAAAACCCCAAGGGTTCCCAGAGCATTGCTGAGCCCCAGGCAACACTCAGGCGAGTTGTATCTTATTTCAGACACGTAGGCAAAGGTAATAATGCAGAAAGGGTCTTACTGTCATATCTTCAAATCAACTGAAGGGAAAAACCCAAGCTAAAAAAATACCCTGTAGCTGTCATGACTCCCATGCTCTCAGCTTTGTCCTCTGGTGTATTTTGAATTGTCTTGGAGTGTCCTTGTATACATGAAGTGAATGGCTTCTATTACTGTTGTCTTTCTTGATTTGGGTACAGCTTTGAGTCCCTGCAAATAATAAAATATTTTTCCGTCTCTTCTTTTTCACAAAATAAATAAATTAAGTCAACCTGCAGTGTACAAATTGTTAATGTCCTGAGAAGTCCCAAAGGTCCATTCTCTGCACAGTCCTCAGGATTCAAGGGTAGAGGCCTTAGCCCCAAAGGCATAGGAAGGAAGGAAGGAAGGAAGGAAGGAAGGAAGTCCGCTATCCACACTAGGAGAGCCCCAGGACCCAGGAAGGGTGCTGGACAGAGGTGTCTGCCCCTCACCAAGTAAGGGATAGTGGAGGGAGCAGGGCAGGGCTGGGGAAGAATGGCCAGCACTTCTGGGCCTGCCAGAACCATCCTGGCACCACTCTGCCCCAGGATCAAGTTTTCAGAGCTAGAGTACCTTTGGACCCCAAATTAAAGCCAGTTCCCTGCACAGTTTATGCTTGGACTATAAAACCTAGAGATTTCCTTGACTGGCTGAATCCACGGTGATGGGAGACCCAGGGCACTGATTATAACGGATCTCACAAGATGGCCACTGTCCTCACCTCTTCAAAGGCTGGCTTTCCACCAGGATACACCCCTCTCTTCCCTAGAGCAACCCCAGCTGGACTCAGATCTTGTATTTCCCTCCTGTCCATAATACTTGAAACAAAACTCAGCCCTCCAGGCTTGATAATGGGACGGATCTGATACAGAGGTTGTCCAGGAAATCAGAAACAGCCCTTAGTGAACTTCTGATGCTTCCTGAAAGTTCTCAGGGGGTATTGAGTTCTGCTTCCTGGTTTGGAGTGAGAGTGGGGAAAGGCTCTGCTTTGGGGACATTTGGTGCTTGGTCATAGGCCCCTGACCCCCCAGGAAATATGTTAGGGCTTGGGAGAGATTTTCAAATCTGGCCTCTTCTTGAGGAGGGGGTGAAGACTGCTAATATATGCTGCCTTGGACACTCAGCAAAGAACACTGGTGATTTCTGAGATCTGTTCCACATGGGTTCAAACAGAAAAGCCCGTGGGGCACTGTGGGCTGCCATGTGGCCATCAAGGCTCTGATCCTTCTGGAGGAAGTTTCCTTTTCCTAATCCTCTCTCTCCAGCAGGATCTAAATTGCTCCCCACAGATCCTCCCAGCCCCCCTCAAGACCACAATGCTTCCAAGCAGCACTCCTGCAGAAACAAACCTGAAAATATAGCCACAAGAGACCAAACCATAAATAACTTAAAACACTCAGACCATCCCATGTTGAGCAACACTCTTCCCAGAGCCCTAAAGGAGGAATTCCAGACACTAACCACACAGCCATGACAACCGACCATGTGGCTGACCTCGGTCCACTGTCTTCTCAGGGGAGGGGCTATCCTGATGTGACTTCTCCCCGAAGAGCACTCTATACTTCCATTTGGGCCCGGCCCCACAGAGGCCTGGCTGGAAACGACAGGACTCCTGAGCTGCCTTTTGTCTCCAGGGACCACAAATGCTCCTGCCAGTCAGGCCTGAAGCAGCTTTCAAATATGGACATGCTCCTGGGGAGTTAACCGAGCTGGGACGGGGCCTTCAGGCTGCCTTCACACGGGGACCAGACACGCCAATTTAAAACATGCTGCCTACTAGAAGCAAGGACAGGAGCGAAGTAGCCATGAGAATCTAAGGTGGGCAGAGGCCATGCACTTAGCAGTTCTGTACCCATCATCCAGCCTCAGACTTACATGGGGAATAGGGTCATGGTTCATGACCATATACCACTCCCCCATCCTCCTGCATGCTGCAAGCTAATTCACTTGTCCTGTCCGACTCTTTGCAACCCATGGACTTTCACTTGCCAGGCCCCTTTGTCCATGGGATTCTCCAGGCAAGAATACTGGAGTGGGTTGTCATGCCCTCCTCCAGGGGAATCTTCCAGACCAAGGGATCCAACCAAAATCTCTTATATCTCCTGCACTGGCAGTGGTGGCAGTTTAGTTGCTAAGTCGTGTCTGACTCCTACGACCCTGTGGACTGTAGCCTGCCAGGCTCCTCTGTCCATGGGATTTTTCCAGGCAAGGATACTGGGGTGGATTGCCATTTCCTTCTCCAGGGGATCTTCCCGACCCAGGAATCAAACCCAGGTCTCCTGCATTGCAGGCAGATTCTTTATGGACTGTGCTAAGAGGGAAGGCAGGTGGGTTCTTTACCACTAGTGCCACGTGGGAAGTACCTCCCTCATCCTCCAATAACTCTGAAAAGCTGTTTTTCTGTATGTATATGTGCATGTATTTCTGTTTTTCTGTGTGTGGGGTGTGAATGTAGGTATGTGTCTTTATATGTATATTTTGTAGCTCTATATAGAGCTGATTTCACCTCTCCCCAGTGACCCACTCAGATGCTGCACTGGATTATGAAGAAACTCAGAAACTGAAAGGTTCACACTGAGTAAAGCAGGGGGTCTGACTGATTAGTTCGTGCCGGAACCCCTTCCAGTTGTTAAATATTTGTAGACCCTTGCCCACTAGGTCTACAGGCCAACTATGTGTGTTTCATGTATGTTTCTGTGTGTGTGTGTGTGTGTGTGTGTGTGTGTGTGTGTGTATGTGAGAGAGACAGAGAAAGAGGGAGAGAGAGGGAGAGGAGAGAAAGAATTGTGAACAGGCCCGGGCCTGCCTGGGTCTGCTCAGGAGACGACAGTCCTTTAGGTCTGGGTTTGACAGCCCTCAAAAAGGCCGGCCACCGTCCTGTTCTCAGCGGGAAGCCCCGGGCCCACAGCTGCAGGGGAAGCGAGCTGGCTGGGGGCCTACTTCTACAGCGCAGGCGCGGCTTACGCCCGGTGCGTCTTCCAGCCCACGCCCTGCGGCGGTGCCGCAGACTCCCCGCGGGCCTGGGTGAGGCAGGCAGAGCGGGACTTTCAGCAGCAGGGGTGCTGGCACCCCAGGCCCCCTACGTAACCCAGAAGGTGCCGCGCTCCTCCAGCAGGCTGACGGAGCGGTTGGAAAGCGAGGCGGCATCCTGCACCGGCTTGTAGCCGAAGAGGCGCATGGCCGGGCCGCAGGCGGCCTGCACCACCTGAGCCAGCTTGAAGGGCATGCTGAAGCGCCATTTCTCAAACTGTTCCGAGGAGTTCTTCTGCGTGGAGTAGATGCCGTCGTGCGCTGCCTGGGTGTTCTTCTGGATCCAGTCCTCCACCTGCGGGGTTAGGGGGATGCCTGCAAAGCGATACATCTCTTGGGCCTTCTGCAGCGGCCGGAGGGCCACGTCCTCGTAGCGCACCAGCATGTAGCGACCCCGCAGCCAAGCCGGCTGCCTCAGGCCCAACTCGGCGGAGAGGCGGATGCTCTCACAGTTGCCCTTCAGCCGCAGCACCTCCTCCTCCCTCAGCTGGTCCTGTCCCTTGGCCAGCCACTTCTTCCAGGTCTCGTACTTGTCCGCGAAGGCCACCATGCGGGAGGCCAGCACAGCGCGGGGGTCGCGCACCAGCTGGATGACGCGCAGGTCGAGACGGGGGTCCTCGGCCAGCGGCTGCAGGAACTCCAGTTGCCTGATGCGGACTGCCTTGATGGCCATGTGCTCCTTGCGGCGGCAGGCTTCAGCGGCCAGCGTCATGTTGAGAGGGCCACAGCGGCGGTTCTTGCAGGGATACTTCTCGAAGACCTTCTTGACGAGGGGTGTGCAGACGGGGTCCTCGCAGAGGGAGCGGCTGGAGCCCCGGCGGAAGACGAACTGGGTCAGGTGGTCCTCGGGCGCCGGGATGATGAAGTGCTCCAGGATGTAGAGGTCGCACAGGAAGAGCTGCTTGAGCACGTCGCGGTAGACCAGGGCCGAGCCCGCGGCGTTGGCACCACCCTGCTCAAAGGACACCGTGCGCTCGATGTGCCACAGCGGCTCGAAGAGGTAGAAGATGTTGCCCTGCTGATTGAAGAACTCTCCCACAAACGAGGAACCCGTGCGAGTTGTGGCCATGAGGAGCACGTGGCGCCGGGGCGGGGCCTCGGCGGGTGGGCGGGCTTCCAGCTGCTCCCAGTCCTCTTCCGCCTCCAGCATCTGCTCCTCCTCGGCCTCCTCTGCTGGCTCCATGCCCAGCTGCAGACTGAGGTTTCGCAGGCGCCTCTGCAGCTGCAGGAAGGCCGAATCCAGCTCACTTAGGGACAGGAGGGATGCGTTCTCGGCCAAGACCAGGGCTGGGTCGGTGCTATTGGCATCTACCAGGGATTGGGGGATCTGCTTCAGCTTGTCTGAGACCCTGTGAGAGCAAAGGGATACCATGATCAGTGACTGACTGGGGACTCTATCCCCTGTGCACCTAAGGAGCGTCCCAGGATGACCACCCAGAAGCTGACTTTGAGGCAGGGGTTTGAGTGTAAGTAGTTTATTTGAGTGTAAGTAGACCCATGATCACAGGGGGAATGGGTAGGGACTTGAGACGAGGAGGAAAGTCACTGTGGCCCAAATTGCTCTGCCAGGGGAACCCCAGGAGGGAGTGTAGACAGAACACACCTCAGGATTCCCTCATCCAGGGGATGTGAAACTCCCAGGTGGCCTTGGCTGAGGGATTCTCCCAAAGGTATGTACTCCTCAGGACTTCTGGCTTGCCAGTGTGCAGGTGGAGAGTTGCAGGGGCTTGCAGCAGGACTCAGTAGGCAGACTGGAATAGTCCATGCTGAGGAACCCAGGTAGGGCACCAGCATAATGCCTACTATACAGCTGAATTCCTAATCTGCCCATCTTGGTTGATGCTTTTGTGCAAGGGTTGTGCCTGGGATAGAAGGTCTATAAATCTTTCTATGTATAGCAGGCTCACTAACAAGGCCACTGCACACAGTGGTACACTGCCAACTCTATGCATCCTCCGTGTAGCCTATGAGAGTGCACACCCCTGGAGTTGAGCAGTACACAACCTGGGCAGCTGAACATGGCAGCCCTGGTGACCAGAGTATCTGTCCCAGACCCTGCCTCACAGTCATCCATGACTTTATTTGGTTATGCCAGGTCTTAGCTGAGGCATGTAGATCTTTAGTTGCAGCATGATGGATCTCGTTCCCTGACCAGTAGTGGAACCCCAGAGCCCCTGCACTGGGAGTACAGAGTCTTAATCACTGGACCACCCAGGAAATCCCTCATCCATGACTTTGGAAATATAGGAATATTGGAAGTATAGGAAATATGCTGTTCGTGTGAGGTATCATCCTAGGCCAGGAAGTTAACTAACAGTAATAGCAACGGCCAGTAAGCACAGGATACCAACTATGTGTTAGACACTGGGCTAAATGCTTTTACATTTTCTTACTTAATCTTTACAACAAAGCCGGCCCCATTGTTAGCCACATTTTTGAAGAGGAACTTAAGGCAGAAAAGTGAAATAATTTATCTAAGCTGTCACAACTAGAAAGGGCTAGAATCATGGGAATTCCCTGGTGATCCAGCAGTTAGGACTCTATGCTTCCACTGCAGGGGGCATGCGTTCCATCCCTGGTCAGGGAACTAAGATCCTGAAAACTGCATGCTGTGGCCAAAAAAAAAAAGGGGGCCAGAATCAGGATTCCAACTGAGGATGCCTGAGTCCAGAGCCCAAGCCTCACTGCTGTGCGATCATGAGGACGTGGTATGACCTGCCTGGGCACAGGACGGGCTTGGTGATGACTGGCTGAAGGACTGCCTTTTGTTGGTCCACAGAGAGAGCCTAACAGCCACCTCTCTGCCCCACCCCCCGCCCCGCATCCCACCTGATTAAGGAAGACTTGTGCTTGCATCCCTCACCTTGATATGATTTTATTTTCCTTTTCAATGAAGACAAAAACCACCACCACAAAAGCCAGGAAAAGGGCATATTTGCTCCTCATTCTCAGGCTGTGCAGAAAATGTCGGCAGTCCTGGGGCAAAGAGAGTCCTTTCTCCATGGGGAAGGGTGGGGCCGTGGGCACTCAGCTCAGGGGCATCACTCAGGACCTGGCTCGTCGTTCAGGTGGGGGACACCTGGTCCTGTGGAGAGATGGGCAGTCAGGACACCCTTGTCTATAGTTGAGAACAAATAGGAGCTTTTCCACCAGATTTTTGGGGACCCCAGCCCTGTTTAGAAGCCAGAATTCCAGACCCACTCTCCCAATGGACTGTGCCTCGGAAACTTGAAATCAGGTCATTTAAAGTATTAACGAAACTTCTGATTCATCCATGTCACTTCCATCAATTTATACTTTGACCTCAAGAGTCAAGGGCAAAAGTACGAAAAGAATACTTGCAGTATACGTGTTTGCAATAGCAAAAAGAGTACAAACATCTAAATAAAAAAATGATGAAGCAAACAATGGATTATTATGCAGCCACAAAGAATGAGGTGGATCTACTAATGCTGATATGAATAATCCACTATATATAGTTATATATAATGTGTAGATGTTATAGATAAGCAAGCTGCAGACATGGTCTGCATATAGGATAGGGTTTCTTAGCACTACTGACATTTTTCGAAATTAGCTTTTATTGGGGTACAGTTGACTTACAATGTTAATTTCTGCTGTACAGCAAAGTGAATCAGTTATACATATATCCACTTTTTTAAAAAGATTCTTCTTACATATAATCTCCTTATTATCTGTTTTATAGATAGTAGTGTGTATATGTTAATCCCAATCTCCGAATTTATCCCTCCCCCTCTTTCACCCTTGGTAACGAAAAGTTTGTTTTCTCCATCTGTGACTGTGTTTTGTAAGTTCATTTGTACCATTTTTTTAGGTTGCACATATAAGCTGTATCAGATGAAATTTGTCATTCTCTCTGACCTCACTCAGTATGATAATCTCCAGGTCCATCCATGTTGCTGCCAATGGCATTATTTTGTTCTTTTTTACGTCAGCACTGTTGACATTTTGGATCAGATAATTCTTTGTTGTGGGGGCTGTCCTATACATTGTAGGATGTTTAGCAGCATCCCTGGCCTCTACGCATTAGATACCAGTAGAGTCTCCTTTGCTCAGCTGTGACAATCAGAAATGTCTCCAGACATTGACAGATGTCCTCTGGGTGGAGGGGTGGGGGTTGGGGAGGGATAGGGTGGTGCAAAATCATTCCAGGTTGAGAACCTCTGATGCAGTTTTAAAAAAAACTAAGGGAGAGAAAAATATAAATGCTAGATACAAGTGGACTGTGACAACAGGGAGACACAAGGCCAGTAACAAAGGAATGGGTAGGTCAGGAGAGAAGGGTGAGGTGACTCTTAACATTTACTGTGTAACATTGTGCACTATTAGAAATTTTACCATGTGGATGTATAAATGTTTTAAAATTAACTAAAGGTTTTCCACCATACCATGTGAATTCTAGCAAAATCCTCCACATGGCCTCGGCCTTCAGGTCTCAGCTTCATGGGGCAGCTTCTTCTTGGCTAGGTTAGGGCCCCCTTGGCCCCACCACATTATGACCTGAGACTCTGTCATAAAGCACACACACTTGAAATGACTTGTTCAGTGCTGACCATCACTTTGTGGAGAGCGGGCAGTGTATTTGGGCCCCTCATTATCCCTTAGCACTGGGCCAGGCACACAGGAGACATGCATGGCTGCTAAATGACAGAATGGTTAAAGGAATAAATGACTCTTAACTGAAACTGTATATATTTTTAAAAACCAGAGCAAATACACCATTGCCCAGTGCAGCCTGAATCACCACTGCTTTCATTTATCCTCACCATCAAACACATACGTGTACCCCAAGCCCCCAGATTCCAGCACAGCCCCCTCTTCCAAAAGTCTCTCCATTTCTTCACAAGGACCCTCATCTATGGGAGACATTCAGCTACAAGCTTAGAAAAGTGTTATTGTGACCTTGTGCAGGGCATCTGGGAGCATCCTTCTTTCTGGGAAAGATGAATTTTTTCCAAGCTGATATTGATGCTGAGGAGTGGGAGGGCTGAAAGGAGGGTCCCCAGGCTGCACCTTCATCATACAATGGAAGTGATTTTAGGGACAACCAGAAAATCTGCTCTCTGGGGAAAGCAGTGAGACTGGGGTTCTGCTTATGAGAAGACAGATGTGTGCCCTGGCAGCCAGAGTGGAGGGCCTCAGCTGAGCAGGGCAGGGTGGTGGTGGGGCAGTGGGCAAGGCCAGGGTGCTTTGTGAGTATAGGTAGGTGGACATGAGCCAGGAGGGAAGAGGGCTGCAAGGCCAGTTCAAGGGTAACTGAATATTCTTGCCTCTTCTTAATTCTTCTGGGCCATTTCCCATGCACTTATTAAACAAATATCTCCTGAGCACCTACTATGTGCCAGTCTAGGCACTGTATCGCACAGCAGGGAACAAGCAGACCCCACCCATGCCCTCATGGGACTTACACTCTGGTTGAAAGAGCCAACTAGAAGGATATGAGTTGATGAAATTTGTTGAAATTTATAAAGTTACTACTCTGTGCCTAGTAGCATGCCAAGGACTTGATTTGTAGTTCCTCATCCCACAAAAGCCCTGTTAGGTAGTGACCCATTTTACAGATGAGGGAACAGGTTGAGAGAGATTAAATATAATTTGCCCAAGTTTCCTCTAGCAACAGCCTGATTGCCCCTCCCAAGTCTAAGTCATTCCAGCCTCTTGATGTTCCACAGTGACACCCCCTGCTCCACAGCACGTGTGATTGGACTTTGCAGTTGACGGTGTGTCTGTCTCTCATTCCTAGACTACAGGTTCTCTGCCCAGACCAGTATCTAGAACAGCACCTGCCATGTACCCACTGCCCAGCAAGTTACTGGTAAGTCAGCTCATTGAAGCTGCTGACTGGCAGGCAGTCAGCATGTGTTTGCAGAATGCTGGGCAGGGCTGTGTTCCTCAGTCACCCAGTTTAGCCTGTGGCGGGGTGTGAGGCCGCCTGTCCTGCTAGGAGGGTGAGATCCGATACTGAATCTGCAGAGCACAAAGGATTGAAATATTGGCTTTCTTCCCTCTAGGCTCTCAGCGGAAAGGGCCCGGATCTGATCATGTGAGGGAAGCAAAGGAGCTAGGACCAGAAGTCCTGGGTTCTTGTTCTTCCTGCTTGTCTAACATGCTGTGTGGCATTGCATAAGTGACTTAACCTCTCTGGGCCTCAGTTTCTTTACTAGTAGCATGAAAAGGGTGGTTCTGCTGTATAATGTTGCTCTGAGGAGCAGTGTCTGGTGTGTGGAGATGGAGAGAAGGCAGGCGTGGGGCACAGGGACTTGTGCTGGTTGTCCTCTCTTCTGGGTCTAACATCTTTGGTACAATTTACAAAGTTGACTGTGCTGATGACAAAGATCCTGAACCTTCTCCTCCCTTCCCTTCCAGGAAGTGTTTCTATTTTTGACTTGCTATCCCAGCCCCCTTAGCCCCTGAATAATACAGAGTTCCTGAGAACCTTGCTGACATTGCCCTAAAAGGAAGACACAAGGGTGAAAACTCCCTCCAAATGAAATCCCAGGCAGGCTGTTGGCTCCTCAGCCCTGGTCCAGGCAGGCTGCCCCTAGAGTTAGCTTTGGAAGGCCAGCAGGCAAATGGGCAGTCAGGGGAGGGTAGTTTAGAGATTCCCCAGACCCAGGAGGTGGCAGAGGGTCGCAGATGCCAGGAGGTCACAGGATCATGGGGAATGGCCGAGATGGGGGTCATGCAAGTAGAACGTGGCCTGCAGGAGGCCCTTTGCAAGAAGTGTGCCTGTGCTATCTGTGACACTGGACAAACCCTCCCTAGAGCTGTGGTGCCCGCCTTGCTTAGCTCATGGGAAGAATGAAAAATCTCTTCCTTTTCTTGGCAGCTGCCATCTCCGGGGGAGTACTCAATACCTTTCTTCCCCCCAACACCCAGCAGTAACACAATAGCCAAAGGAAAAGGTGGTATCGCCCTGCTGGGATGTCAGCAGAGGTCACGTTGCCAGGGCAGCAGGGCCAGTGGTGACGAAGGCCAGGGCCACATGCCGGCTCAGACTTGCCTGAATGCAGGGGAGCGGGGCAGCTGTCCTGAGCTCAGTTAAACTCAGGACTCAGCCTAGATGTCCTCTCCCCTGGAGTCCTTCCCTGACCACTGGCCTAATGTGGGCTGTCTCCCTTCTCCCTATGCCTTTTAGCACCTTGCTTTACGTCCTTCCTGGATGGAAATGTACTTGGGTACCACCTGTTTCAGCCACTGGCGTGTAAGCTCCCTCTTTGTATCCCCACTGCCCTGTTTCGTGTGTACCAGGCACAGTGGGTGCCTCTTGCTTGTAGAAGGAATCTATGAATGCTTTTTCCAAAGCATTTGGCCCACTGTGAGATGCTCAATCATTCTGAGTTAGTGGAAAATACAAAGAGAAAGAAGAAAAAGCCATTGTTCCCTGTCCAAGTGAAGCATGCCTGCATGCTGTGACCTGTGCTGCAGGTGCGCGGTGAGTACTGTTGATGTTTAGCCGCTCAGTCGTGTCCTACTGACGGTAGACTGCCAGGCTCCCCTTTCCAGGGGATTTCCCAGGCAAGGATACTGGAGTGGGCTGTGCACAGAGTATATGCCCCCCAAACAGGGACTGAGTGGCTACTACATGTGTATACCATGGGAGTGTGCTACGAGTGTGTACTGTGGGCAAACCTTTGTGCTTGGGGCTTCCCATGTGTTAGTCTCGAACTGTCATGACAATCTGGGATACCTTTTTGAGGATAAAGAACCTCGGCCTGTGGCTTTCAGTTCCAAGTCTCCCCAGCTACGTGGTAACAGGGCAGGGGTGGGGGCGGGGAGGGCAGAAAACAGCAGAGGCAGCCCAGGCAACCTCAGTGAGGGAGCCCTGGAAAGAAAGCAGGCGGTGATTTGAGGCCCTACACTCCAGGCACTGGCTTCCCTATCCTGCTCTCCCCTCGGGGGCCTTCCTGCTCAGGCCTCCCTCGTGACCTGGCAAAGGGCCCTCTCAAGAGAACAGTTTTGTACTTGGATGGCTGCCTCCC